TCCAAGTAAGTCTTGATCAAGGAGTTTCTGAACAGCTGAACCAAAATATCAATCAATTTAATTGCGACGTGTTGCGGCAATTGTTGTTCCAGAACATGGCCTTGGCAGAGCTCATGCGCAGGAGATGGACCTAAGCCCTTGCAGTCCAACAAGCCCGGGACACAAATCCCAAGCTGAGGCTGACCTTCTTGAACGCAAAACAACCGTGATGCGCTTGCAGAACAGGCTTCAGAAGATCTTTGCCAAGCAATTGACTCCCGGCAAGAGCGTGTGGTGCTGGCGCTATGAGAAGAATGAGTCGGACCACACTTTTCAGGCTTCAGTGCACATTTCCCTTCTTGACCGATCATTCACAGGTGGATGGGCAGCCACACATCAGGCTGCACAGATGGAGGCATGCAACCAGTTGGCAGCGTTTCTGGACAAAGACTTCAAGGCCTGAGCACAAGAGTAATTGGCCAGCACAAAGCTGAGACGTAATGTCGAGCCGACCTGCTCACAGAATGTTTGAAAGTATAGACAAAGCCCGACTCGCAGCAGATCTAGGACCACTAACGTCATTTGTAAATTCAACTGCGCAGCTTTTGTAGAAGTGGATGAGGTTAGTGCGGTTTGTGAGTCCTCAGGATTTTTGGCTGCGATTGGCACTCTATAGCCATGCAAACGCATGGCAAGAGAAGTGCTGGGCATGCATGTCAGTCACAGCAACCTTTCAAAAGGAAACACCAATGGCACTTGACATAGACTTCAAAGATCGAGCACCAACCTGACAAGCTTTAGATATATCAGATGGACATTGATAGTGGGGTTGCCTTGCTATGAAGATTCCCAAGGAATGAACCTTGATGCTGAAAGGTTGCACCCGACTTCGACGTATGTGGAAGCCACTGAAAGTGGCTAGAGGATCTTGGAAGCATTCTGCAGCGCACAGAGAGAATGCTGCAGAACGCCCATCTGGGCGACCTGTCCTCGCTGGTGTCTCACCGGTCAAGCCGGTTGGGCGACACCGAATGGCGACTTTTTCCGACTGGCGAAGCACAAGCCTCGCAGAGCCGCACTTGGAGCCACGGCTTGGAAATCCCAAGCCTGGTGCCAAGTGATTGACAGGTCGAAATGGATCGAGAGACCAAGAGGGAGGTAGATTCCGGATAGATGATGATTGATGTAAAAACAGGGAGGTAGACTTGCGAAAGCTGGGGTTCCTCCAATTTCTTTCCCCTCTCACCCCGTCTCATACAGTAGTAAGTAATACCCCCTTCAGAGATTCCAACCCCCCCGTCGGAACCTTCTTTAGATCGCCCAGGTTCTGACTGGTATGGCTTCGGCCTCTTCCTCCGGAAGCACATGCAACTTCAAGGTGTCTTGAAGTCCTAGGTCCTAGGTGTTGTCCAAAGGCAGGTCGACATATCGACATGATGCCTTTTCATGCTTTTTCAGGAATAGAAAAGCTTGCAGTTCCATAGGCAAACCCTCACACTATGTGACTTATCTGACAAAGGTCATGTTGTCTTGGGAGTGATGCTCATTCTGGGAGATCCTCAAATTGCAGGAGTTCGCGAATGGCTTTGGTCCAGCGCTCGACACCGTGCCAGCTTGTGGGCCACTTGCTCAAGGACTCATAGACTGATAGTTGCTTTTTGATGCGGCAATTTGATGCATTGATGACACTTCCATTTGGATAAAAAGCTTGCGCATTCCTTCTGGAGGCAGGTTGGGCGCCTTTGTGATGCCTTTGGTGGCGATGGCGGCAGGTGGCAGAGGTTGGCTCAGCCAGCACAGCTGGAAGACTTTAGAAAGCTCCTTGTGCTTTCCTTTTTTCATGTGACAAGAAGTGGCTATATAGATCTATGTAAATATTCTTTGCGCACAATGGTCGGAGTTACTACAGTGTATTTTCCATTACTTTTACAGTGGTACTACACCCTTCCGATTTGGACTGCCGGCCCTCAGGTGGAGGAAAGAGGTCACAGTCTTAAGATTCCAAAGGCTGGGAAGGTCTAAGCGTGTTGAACCGAGAAAGACACGTGTGACGTAGAGAAAGAAGGTTGCTAGAGAATGTGTTGGTTGGAGAACACTCCTCCAATAAGCAAGCATAATTGAGATGCGAACCCATCTCCCATATGAGACCCTTTGCATTAAGTCAACAATGTTGGGGGGCCAAAGCACCAGCACGTTTCATGGCACAGCTTCGGCCGGTTGCTTTTTTTGGCCGAGAAAGTGTGAGTCGGATATAGAATGCATTTTGTGCGATGTATACGGAGCCAAAGCGGAGTGAAGAATGCGGAGTGAAGAAACAGGAAGGCAAGGCCACTTAAAAGGGCATTTCAAGACATTTCAAGATGCCAAGGTCCCAGGGTCCCTGTATCGCCCTTAGGTTGGAGGCCATCACTTGTAGGTTGGAAGCTATTAGGTTAGAGCCCTTATATAGGAACAAGAAGCTACTAGTAACAAGGGGCATCGCTACATGGAGCAAGAAACTACTAGGGGGCTCCTGGCATCGCTACTAGGAGCAAGGAGCTATTAGGTATTACCGTCGTTTTATTTTCATCCGCGTGGCGACTCACCGAGGCGCCAAGGTCGAGCTCCCAAGCTCGAAACCGCTCAGACGCCTCGGGGCCCAGACCGGGGGAAGGCGTCCGAGTGCGTCGGTCGGACAGCGTCACGAGTCGGTGGCGTTGAACCAGTTGAAACCTGTCACGTCGCAGAGCGGATGCTGCAGCCCCACTGTTTGGATTCTGCAGCTTGGCCCAAAAGTAGATTCTTGACCCGGCCCCTCTGAAAGAGGCTAAGAAAGAGAGAAATGTCCTCCGCCATTTTTCTGAAGAAGGTGGAGTCCTTCCTAAAGCGCATCCGAAAATGGGACACTGAGTTCCTTTGCATTGGGAAGACTGCCGGAGAGGTCTTCAATGTCCCAAAGCCGGAAGAGGTGCTTCCACGGATCATGGCCAACTTGGACTATTTCTGCGTGAACTACGCCGCTGCTCAACGTCATAGGCGGTATATAAACAGAGGTATAGTATACGCACACATACCACACCCACACTCTGACAATTGTATTCAGTTACACTCAGTTCCCAGGTCGAAAATGGTGAGGGAACGGTATGGCGAGAAAGTCAGTTCACTTGAATGTTGAACAAGTTGTTGGTGCGTGACTGCAGAGCTCAGCGGTGGCGAACGAGCGGTGCAACTCATCGGCAGAAACTAGGGTTTTGGGGAAGTATCATGCAAGAACCATGGAAGCAAAAAGTGGAAAAGTGGAGTAACAGCTTGGTCAAAGATTTGGGCAGGTACAGGATCAAGCGTCCTTGATCCCTTCCCATCTGTGGTCGTAGCTTCGTTGCGTGCAGTGGACCACAGATGCTGCACGCCCCTGCCTGTGAAACTCCCTGTCGTGATGGAAAAGGTGGTGAAGGTGGAAAAGGTGGTGGTGGTGAACCCTTGGCCCAGGGGTTGGCACACACAGATCGCCGTGATCGGCGCTTTTTCCTTTCAAAAACCGGCTGCAAGCAATTTGGTTGTGTCCTTTTTGGACATAGAGCCTCACTAGCTCTGCGGCAGCAGCTTCAGCGCTTGAAGGTGGAAAAGTGTATTTGTGGATAGTGTGAAGTCTGGATTGGAGGCCTGACAGAGCCAAGCGCTGGCTCCCGGCGGTGGTGGCATCCCTGATTTTCCAGGGTTGTGAAGGTTGTATGTAGGTGATGGTACGTTGTTGTAGGTCAATGTTGAAGCCCAGGAGGTGAAAGTCGTCAACAGGTTCAAGTTCCACTGGGTCTCCAAAGAAGTTGTGGTGGATGAGGGTTTGAATTTGCATGGCCGGGTGGCGGAGGAAGTGTTCGTTGTGAACAATGAATCGGTTGTCAACGTAGCGGTAGTAGGCAAAGTGTAGGTCAGTGTGTTGAAGTAAGTTGTTGTGGATCTGGTGCCAGGAGTGTTCAATGAGTGTGATGGCGACATTGCATAGGGCTGGAGAGAGTTGGGAGCCAATCCCAGCTCCTCGGATTTGCTTGTATGTGTTATTGCAAGCCCGGAAAATGCAGGTGTTGAGTGTATAGGCAACAATGGTGGTGATGTCGGAAGTCTGGATGGTACGTTGTGTGGGGTGTTTGGTTGTTTGTGGCCTCTATCTTCAACATCCACTGTGAGGGTGTGTGTGGATTGCTGTTGTTGCCAGTGGTGAATCATGGAGTCAACTGCGTCGATCAGTCGATGCTGGGGAATCGAGTTGAAGAAGCCGACCAGGTCGTCGTTGGTGGCGTACAGGGAGATGTCTGCTGGGGTTTGGGTGAGGTAGCAGTGGAAGTGGTGCCTGTCCTGGATGCTGTGGGTAGAGGTGTTGGAGTATAATGTCAAGGGCACGGCTGGTGATGCGTAGGAGGTTGCCACTGAGTGAATGAAAATATGAGATAATGGTGCGGCCTTTCTGCCACTGCTTTTTCTCCTTGAGGTGGACCACACCATAAGGAATGTTGAAATCCTTGCGGAAGCCCCACTTGTAGCGGGTGCGGAGGATGGGTGGAACAGTGGCTTTGAGATGGTCGTGGATGTTTGCGACTGTAAGGTAGGGAAATGGTGGGGGTTGCCATGTGTTCAGGGCACCGGTGAAATATTGGCCGGGGCAGAACAGCCGGAGTTGTTGTAGTTCGTGGTCAGCATGGTGAAGCACCGTGTGTGGGCCGAGATACTCCTGGAGCTGACGGAGCAAGCGAGCTGTAAAACGGGGTTGTTGTTTGAGATGGGTGTGGTGGAGGCGCCGTTGGTGCGCGAGGAAAGGTTCCAAATGCTGTGCAAGGGATGATGGTAGCCCTTGAAGCTTGAGCCATTTCGTGTAGGCCGTTTGGAAAGTGAGGAAATAACGGGCCTTGCTGGGGTAGTAGGTGCTGTTCACGTTGGCGTTGAGGAAGATGTTGAGGTGTGGCGGGAGGTGCAGCTGGTCCAATGTAAGAATGTAGCGGCTGTGGTGGGTGTGCCTGGATCTTGGAGGAGATTGCGAAGGTGGTTGCATGCGCAACAAAGGTCTGCTGGATCAGGTGGTGAGTGGAGAGTGTCCTCCCAGGTGCGGTGATTGTGAAGCTGGGATCGTAGGGTCTTGCGAGCTGCTTCACGTAGGCGATGTGATGGGAGGTGGAGGGGAATGGCCAAATGTTTGTGTTGCTGAATGGTGGTGCGGAGCCACTGTTGGCAGTGTTTTGTAAAGTCATCGTGCGCCAGGAAAGGCACTGTGAGCGGGATGTTCGGTTTGGGTGGTGTAAGATTGCGGTAAAGGAGGGCTTTGTTGATGATGTGGAGAGCCCTGCTGCGGCCTGGTTCTTCGAGATTAGCGGCCATACGCCGGATGGCGTAAACTTCGAGGTCTGTATGGCGGCCGCTTCGCAGTTGTTTGGCTGCTTCAAAGGAGGCGGCTGTGTGCTTGGTGAGGTTGCGAAGAAGTGTGAGAGCGTGATGTTTGGTGGAAGTGTAAAGGTGTGGTTCTCGGATGGTGTGTTGGCGTTGCCGTAGTCGTCGAAAGGGACGTTTGTGAGTGGCTAACCTGGAGTAAAAGTGTGCTCGATGTTTTGTGAATTGCCATCCTTGGGCTTTTAGTTTGAGGTGGTGTGAAATGAAAGGCCAGTTGAGTGTGGGCATCCAATTGGCAATATGATGGTGTGCTTGGATCCAGGCGTGATCGTAGGTGTCGTGGGATGTAAGCTGAAGGGTGGTGTATTGGTGAATGTTGTTGTGAGAGTGCCAATAGCGTA